AACACACAGATTTGTTGCTGCACATCTATTTGCTCATCTGCCACAGAACTCCTGTGAGAATAAAAAGTTCCGGCAGGCAGGGGCCATGATGTCAGTGTATAGCAGAAATGCTGTTACTAGGTTTGAAAATAAGAACCTGCATCATGCACTCCATGTGTTTGTAGCGTCACTGGCTCAGGCGTTGGCAACTGCCCTCCTGTGGTGAGCAGGGATTGTCTGGTTTCTCATGATTTAAATCCCTGTGGAGACATAATCTCCTCCTTCCATCAAGGGAGCTGTCAGGGGGAACACCTCAGGGCAGGCAGGTTCACAAAATGGTACTGTTAAATCCTTTCCACAGATGAGCCTATTGCAGGACAAGTCAGAACTATGAAAAGACACAAATCTTGCTGATCCACCTGAATTTCAAATGCTAGGATGCCCCAGAAATACTATACAAAGACAGTCTGTTATTTCACACTAATCATCCTCATGTATTCAAGCCAGCATCTGAAGAGGAGGAAAGCAGAGGTCAGGACAGAAGGAGCCTACAGTACTCTAAAATGTCATATTCAGGATTAGGTCCGGCAGGATACTTCTGAGTTCTTCAAGCAGAAATAAAGGAAATCACAGAAAGAAAAGCCATTTGGATCCCTGCCACCATATATGCTGCTCATTACATCAGGATAGGAAAGCCACTCAGTACAATACAAGGGTGCATATGTGATTGTCATAAAGAATTTGGCCCTAAACACATCCATAAGTGATGCTTCCCCAAGCTGCTCCAAGGAATACTGTGCAGTTGCATCTTCAGTGCCAAGGAATCCTAGCAACAAAATGGTCACGATTTACAAAATAGAAATCAGGGCTATTTTTGTTGCAGCTTTTTATAAGATCACCAAAATGCTGCACTAACAAAATTACTGCTTCCCCCCCCACATTGCTGATGTTGCTGCCACTGGATTTCGACTCCATACCAATAAAAAGTGCATATTTGGAGGCAGAGGATTTTTCCCAGTAATGCCAATGCTGGGTATGAGTTCATCAGGAAAGGAAGGCTGGGTTTCAAACTGCCTCAGAGCAAGAGAGTAACTCCAAGAGCAGTTCTTTTTTTCTATGCTTTAAGAACCTATCATACTTAGCTTATATTACTTACTTATATTACTTACTTATATTACTTACTCCCTGCCCTGAATATTGGTGTTTTCCAGTAGACACGGGGTAAATTTTACAGGCATAACTAAATGGCTTACCTCAACACTTACCACCTAACTGATAAAAGCATGACACAGCTACAAGAAAGCTCCTGGGATGCAGTTTCCAGCCACTGTTGGATTAGTAAGGCCAAGGAATTACATAAGCCATAGCTGGCTGTGTCACTGGTTATTTTGCAGCCTGCTTCATGCCTAGGCAGCCACTTGCCCCCCACCACAGCCAGCGATGCTGCACAGAGGTGCCCTTGCCCCTTCTCTCACACTGCAGGGACATCCTAAAAAAGGACTGATGGCAGCATCTATCCATCTGTTCATCCTGTGGCTGCAGAGTGGAGTGATCCTCAGCAGTGCGCTCCAGCCTGTGAAAGCCAGACCCAGCTCCCTGCACCCTTGGCATGCTGCTGCAGCACAAAAGTACCAGGGCCCCAGGGATCAGCCAGGTGCAACTTGCTGACTGGTGCACTGGTGTCCACTCAGTGGCTTTGCTGAGATAAAGGGAAAATTGACACCAGCCAAGGGAAAACAGAAGGACAGTGGGACCAGCTCCTACTGCTTCAGCCCTTGAGGGATGGGGACATCAGGGAAGGGAGAAAGGGAGAATAGCTATCTGCCAGCCTCTGTACTTGACAAAGTCTTATCTGAGTTCAGCACAAATGCTGTAATGCTTGCTTTGTTCCCACCTTTACACAGGAGATGCAGCTCCCCAGGGGTGAGAGAGGAGCAAGCAGGGAGAGGGGGCTGGCTGTGCTCCAGCAGGTGTGTGTTCTCCTGTGCTGTGCACACCATCAGCCTGCAGCAGGGGATCTTGGTGCCATAGTCCAGGGGTGTACAGAAGCTCATTGCTTCCCGCTCCCAGGTTCCTAGGGTCACTGGTGTTCTCCTCATCCTTGAGGAGCATGTCCTGTGCCTTAGTGTTCTCACCACTGCCACAGGTCTTGTGTCCTGCCTAACCTTCCTTCAGCCTCAACATGGGGAAGTGGGGGACTGAAGCCAATCTGGACAACAGCTATGGATCAGTTTCCCTGAGGGAACAAGCAGAGAGCCAGTAAAGACATCCTTGTGAGGAAGAGGCCAGAGAGGTGTTAGTTCCACACCAGTTCTCTAGTTTGCAGCTTATTCATTGAATGCTTCTGTTTAGAGACTTCATAAATGAGAAAAATAGTTCATGATTATGAATCCCTTTTAATCTTTGCTCAGTCTAAAGGAACACCTTGAGATTTAAATGAAGGATATAGAAACAGCTCTCAAGTCCTCAGGAGAAATATGATCCAGGACTGATCCAAGCTCCTGTGAAGTCTGGGTAAGTCTTTCAAAGGGATCTGTGAATGAAGATTTGCCCAGAATCATGGTGTTTTATTTTTATCCTCACTTATTTGCAAGGCCATCCTTTTATCTAGCTAAACCAGAACAACATGGCTCTGTGATTTGAACTGTCAACTTCCAGCCCTCCCATGTGTGACCTCCCAGCCAGAGCCCTTCAGCCACACCTCAGCAGAGGCAGTGCCAGCCCCCCGGTGCTGGGCTGCTGCAGCTTAGGCTGTGACCATGCCAGGTCCTTCATGCTGCTGAGCTGAGCATCTCTCGCAATAACACCCAGCCACTATTCAGGCTTCAGCTGCTCTGTCAGATTTGGGGAGTGTGTTTCCCCATCTCTGCACCTTGCTGAACACAGCTGTGACCTCAGCGTGTCAGGTTTTTATAATGGCGCTCCAGTTAAGGATAAGGGAGTATCCCAGCAGCTAATGCTTCCCTGGGAGAAACAAGTTTTCATTATAAATAAAATTTCTCTCTCCTTCTTGCTTCTCTGTGACACATTCTGCAGCAATATGTGACAGCACAGCAGGTGAAAACTTCACTGAAAATTCATTTAAAAACCTAATGGTTAAAAGGAATGCTGAGAGCTAGGACACCTGGCTTTTATTTCTTGCTTTGACTTTGACCCATGGCATGCTGTCAGTACACTTCTTACACCTCCTGAAGATACTGAAAAAATAGCACTTAAAAAGTGATATCACATGAGCATTGCAGCAGCACACTCCAGGAAGGTGCATGATCTGCATGTGAGCTGTTGCACCCTGGCACTCTGAGTACCAGCTGGTGGGAAGCAGAGGATTTAGCTCCTTGCCCTGGCCTGCTGACAGGCAGTCCCCTGCAGAGAGCCATGGAACACCTCAGGCCTGAAGACTGACTGTCACCCTCACCTTTTCAGCACATGCCCTCACTACACTCCTCTTCTACCAGGTAGTGGCACTTCTGCCTGGCTACCTCACCTCTAGGAAGCCATGAGAGAGCTGATCTCTTCAGTTTTGGTCTTTAGAGGGACTCTAGTGCTGGCAGGACTCTACTGGCAGATGCTACCACCCCAGCTTCCGTGGTGCTCTGGGCTCCCTCTGCCCATTGCAGGGTGGGAAGGTGGCATGGTTTGTTCTTGTGGGTGTGTTGTGCTCTGCAATTCTTGGGCCAATTCCTAAGGGCAATCAATCACACGAGTATGAAGAAGGCCTCCAGCCATAAATCCATCACCACAAATTAGTTCTTTCCCAAAGCCATGACCTGCAGAAGTCTCTGACTGATCCCATTCCCTTCCCTGGTAAGGTCACGTTATTCAGACTCCTCATTGCCAGTCACCTCAATTACCTACCCTTGGTTTCCCTGCCAGGAGCTGCTTCATGACCTGCTCTTTGCCCTTTGCTGTCAGCTCCCACCTTGCCAGGCCCTGCTCTCACCAGCTGGTGGCTGTTTCCAGCCCAGTATCACCAGTCTTTCCTGAACAAGGCCTCTGGTGGCTGAATGCTGAACTGGGATGTGCAGCACCGCATCTGTACAGGAACAGTGCTGTGTGTGAGTTGGGATTCTCTGTGCATTATTCACCTGATGTAAAACCATGGAGGCCAAAAGTTCACACACTTCAGGGGGTGTGAGCCCCCTCATCCTCTTCCAGTGGCATGTGTGGCACCTTGAGAGAGGCTGCCAGCTACATCAGATACTGCTCCACAACCTTAACTCCACACTGGGAAGGCTGCCAGCCTCCTGTGCCATGCGCAGCCAGCCTCGTCCATCCTTCCCACTCGTCATCTGTCACACCTGTTTCAGGCACTTTTCTTCCTTGCTTTTACTGCAGGGGAGATGTGGGCAGAGGAGAAGCTGGCATGGGTGCCTGTCAAGGGCAGCCTCAACCCCCATCCCCCCAATGTGGTGCTGCTGGCAGAGACCTGCCCAGCTCCACTTCAGCAGTGTCCTCACTATAACACATGGTTGGCTCCCCTGCAGAGTGCTGCTGAAATGAAGCTGCCCCATTAAAGTTTTGGGGAGTTAACAGAGCTGTTACAGCAACTGTGACCTCAAAAAGTTTCACTAGGTGCTATTTTTAACTTTACAGGTCTTAAGCTCTGAGGAGCACAATGAATGATTTGAGTCTGAAAGTGAACTACATTTTCCGTTATTAGAACTTAAAAACTAATTAACTACTTAACCATGCTTTATCCAAAAAGTAGAATTTCTGAAAACTCAGACACAGCCTTATCTGCTGTGTCACAACAGCGTCACTGTTACAACTGAAGTGCCTTACTGTGCTGGTGGTAGTTCAGCAGCCATTTCCTTTGGTGTCAATTCAAGACAATGTGCTAGGACACATGGTGAAACAAGCCCTATTCACTGTGGATTACTTGGGGATACTTTAGTCCTTTTACTCTCTGTTTCCACAAAGTCCCTGTGCACTGGCCGTGAGCTGAGCTATTTTCTTCCAAGGTGCAGAAACAGATGAAAAGAAGTAAAGTGCTGCATTCCCAGGGAGAATATACCTCCTACCTCACTCTTGCAATGGCTTGCACTGATTGCAAAGCATCCTTGGTATCCACACTTCCCTTCTTGGGGGAGATCATCCTCTGGGGTCTCTGAAGTGAGAAAGGGAGAACAAGGGGAGTATTTGGGGCTTCCAAAAAGTGTGCAGACCCATTGCTTTTCCACCAGTATGAGATGTCCAGTGTCAGGTCTGTCCACCTGAAAGAACAGCATTAGAAACCAAATCTGAAGGGGACCTACCACCAAGTCACCTAGTCTGTCCCTTCCCCATGATGCGACATCTGCACATTTTACAGCCATTTGCCTAAATTGTCCTTGTAACCCTCCAGCAGCAGAACTCCATTAGCTCCACAGTTGCTACAGTCCAGTGCTTCACTGAGAAAATTCTCCCACTGGAGGGGTTGAAAAAGTCAGCCTGAAGGAGCAATTCACTTCATTCTCAGCCACAGTGATGAGAAGCAGAAGACTCTGCCTGTAGTGGCCAACACAACTGGAGACCAGGCTGCTCTCCAGAGCGCGGACACATTCATTTGGTATTTCCTATCTACTTTTTTTAAAACTCTTGACAGTTTCTCATGTGAAGTGCAGAGAAGACAGCCAAGTCCAAGGCACCAAGAAAAGACATGTGATCAGAACATAAAGTGGGACAACAAAAAGAACAGGAGCAGAAAAAAAGATGCAATTGCTCAGCTTGGATTTTCTTTTGACAGAATCTGCAATGCAAATACTGCCTGAAAGTGCAGGATCATGAAAAATACTGACACTCTTGATGGACTTTTTCCTTTGTCTCTGTGAGGGAGATAATTTGGAACAAGGAATGAGGAGCACTCTTTGGTTTGTGTCTACTGAATAGATCAAGGGCAGGAAGGGAAGAGAGGAGACAGTCCTATTTGATTTTCACTCAAGAGGGGGAATATCATGCATTTTGTCTTAAATAGATAACTGTTTGGTCAATCATACTCACTTGGGATGGTGACAGCCTTCCACCAGGCTAACCAGCACCTATCATTCAGGGCATTAGCTGAGCAGGTTTTTGCATGAGGTTTGGAAGAGCCAAGGAGAAGGAAGACAGTTTTCCTAGGAATCATGCCTCACTCATTTCCTACCCTTCTCTGGACAGTGTCTGTTGTGTGAGTGCCCTGGGCAGCTTTAGAAGGGGGAGGTTTACAAGGAAATAGCCCCTCTCTGGAGACTGATACCAATGGTGTCTCAGCAGCTTTTGCTTGACCCCTCACCCACCTGGGTACATCTCAGCCCATAGATGGGGACAATTTAAAGTTAACTGGTCTGTTAGTAAGGGCTGTATGCCTTGTGTTTTCAATGCCATGAAATAAGCCTTGACAAATAAAAGAAATGTTGGGGGAAAAGGATAAAAAAGCTGGATAACTAAATGGTCAATGCCCCAAGCAGAAGGTGTCTCTCCAGGGGCACACTGAAGAGGAAAGGTCCCATCTACCCTTTTGACTCGACAGCCTGTAAAGCTGCAGCGTGCAAACAAGCACTAAGTATGGTCTCTTAAAACACCCCTTTGGCATTGTGATGACCACAAGTAGCACTTTACAAATTAGCCCCTGTTGCATTTTGCAATGGCAACACGAGGCAAATGAGGCAGTTTTAAGAGGCCCCTCTTTTCTGTAAAATTTCCATCAGAAAGCTAATGGTTGTGGGTTTCAGGAACATTGGTCCATGAGGTTTTCCTTTTTATTTAAATAGCTTAACTGATTACATTATGTCATACCCAATTTAAGTTTTTAAATATAGAAGAGAAGATAAAAACAGGCATGGACAACTGCTGTTTGACTTTGCCAGTACAGACAAGACAAATACATATTTCAAAATGTCAAGTGGCTGCTGCTTTCAGCTTTCTTCAGTGATTTCTTGGCTTTGGAAACAAAAAAATGCTGTTTTTACTCACCAGCTTTGTTTTCCTGAAAAAAACCCTCTTGATTTCCAACAAAGTTTTAAAGATTTTAATATTTAAGACCATTTCCCAATTGAGTTATGAATTGGTAGAAATTAAGAAAAGTCACTATCAAATCTTTGGTGTAGATATAGACTGTCACAGTAACGAGAAAAGCAGCCAGCCTACTATTTAACCAGGGCAGTACAGAGCAGCAGGTTGTGGTATTTCAGAGAGGAAAGCAAAGGCAAGTATCTCCAGACAATCAATCTTCAGTAATAACTACTGAAACATTTGGAAAAAGGAATCCTTTGCATACTCTCCCCTGAAAGATCTTGATTCCTCTTCACAAGAGTTTGTAGAATGGTAGAATCCTATACTAATAACAAAAGCACACCTGTTCCAGGTCATTCAGCTCAAGCAATTAATGTTTCATTAGAAAAAAAGCCAAATCAGAACACTGTTAGGTAATATGAGGCTTGCTCTGATATTCAGCAAAGTCAGCAGGAAACCTACGTGGTCCTTGGCAGAAGAGGACAAGGGCTGAGGCAGGAAGCTGAACTGCTGCTCTCCTTCCTGCTCCGCAGCTGCACCTTCGCACGTCCTTCATTCAAAAATAAAAACTTAGACTTCAGACACATTCTCTGTTACTAGCTCAGGGTTGTATTGATTCAATACCCAATAAAGGCAATTTTCAGTCATTATTACTGTTTAGGTCCATGCATTTGATCTAAGTGAAATCCATAAATGATAAGGCTTAACAGAGGAGCCCATGAAATGCTCATTTAATATCAATACAGGGCACTCACATGCAACTGCAGGCCCAGGTGCAAAAAGGCTATTCACATGGTGAAGAGGAAGGCATGAGGAAAGACCAACATTATAGGACTGCAGTGTTAGGATATCACAGGCGTTTGAGATATAGAGTCAAATGTGCAAATGTTTGTGTTGGAACAGAAGAAGAACTGAGAACAGGATGAATGAAGCAAGATACACATAGTGCTTAGCAGAGAGATCAAGTGCTTTCTTTCTACAAATGGCTTAGATGTTTTTATGGTGGACTTAATACATTGGAAAGCCTTCAGTAGCTCCTGGTCCTAGACCAAATAAATTTAAAAATCCCTTCCAGCACTAAATATCTATTGATCATCTGCAGGGCTGTAATTACATTGGTGTGCTCTACTGCTGGAACACCAGCTGTATCTTGGATCCAGCCACAGCTCTTCACAGTGAACTGTGTAGCAGGTGTTTAAAAAGCAATCAAACAGGAGAAAACCCTAATTTTCACCCATGGATGATAGTTTTTTCAACCTGAGCTGCAAAGCCAATATTCAATTATAGGTAGTTTCAACTGCTGTTTGAATTTCAGCTAAGTATCCTGCAGCTTCATATAGGCTTTGTTGAGGCTACTGGATTTTGACTACAGGATTATATGACTGTTGATGAGCCATGGGACCTGCTAACAAAAGCTTTAAGCAGACTGACTGCACACAGCAATGTTCCAGGGCTGCATTCACTTCTGTTTTCAATTTTCTCTTCTCTAAGCCTGTTTCAAGGCTGCTCTCTGCATTCCTAGGAGCATGTACATTTGTTTTTAACTCCATATTATGAAGAAACTTCACTCACTTCCATGAACTGCACATGGATTACATGATGTAAATGGCAGATCTGTCAAAACTGTTGGAAGCAAAGACTACATTAAGCATAGAAGAAAAACCCAGATATTTCTAAAATAGGACAGCTTGCTGTCCCAGGTGTGCAGGATAGCACACACACATTGTCACCTACTGTCACACAGCCCTGCAGTTCTGTCTGGCCAATATTTCATGGCTCAGGATTCCATGTCAACACTCAGACACATCAATTATTCCCTCTCTATGATGTGCAAGGCTACAGTAAGTGCTTCACAGATGATCTGAAGAAACATGTTGTATTTTCTCCACTGTTTTCTGCTGCAGATGAGGCAACAGGAGTGCCTAGGCCCCAAGAGAAAAGGAAAGGCATGACCTCCTCCTTTGCCCCCAAACACCTGAACGCCACAGAGCCCCGTACTGCAAGCCCGTTCTTAAGCTCCTTGTGCCCCTCCTGCCACCTCCACCAGTGCCTCGCAGAGCTGCAGTCTCCTTGACCATTTCACAAGTCCCCGGGAAGAGGTAGGCTCTCCTAGGCCAAACCCCAAGGGGGCTCATTTGCCCAAACTTGCACTGGGCAGGCCCCCTTTCGCCCCCGCTGCATCGTTCCGGGGCAGAGCCGCTGGCCCAGCCGCCGCCCCGAGCCCGGCAGCCGGCGCAGGGCTGGGCGCCGGGGCCCGTCGGTAAAACCCCGCAGGCGGCGGCCGCGGGGGTCCCGCCGGCGGCCCCGGCACTGCAGGGCGCGGCGGGGCAGCACCGCAGCGCACCGCGGCTGCAGGTACCTGAGCAGGCTGTAGCTGCGCTCCTCGGTTCTCCCCGCGTCGCAAACACCCCCAGCCGGGGCATCCTCCTCCGCCGCGGCTCCCCACACCCCACCGCCCCGCAGCCCGTGCCCGCGGCGGGGCTGCCTTTGCCCCTCCAGCCTCCCCCGGCCCGGCCCGGGGCGGACGCCCCCGCCGCCGCTCACCTCCTCCCGCTCGGCGGCGGCGGCCCCCGGCGCGGGGGTGCTGCCCGGCCCGCTCTCAGCAGCCGCCTCGGCTTCCCCCTCCGAGGACATCCTTGGCCATCACCGGCAGTTGCGGCGGCGGCGGAGGCTGCGGGACCCCGAGACGGCGGAGCCCCCCGCGGACCGCGCCCCGCGCCGTGGCCGGGCTGGGGCGAGCCGCCCCCCGCGCCCAGGGCCGCCCTGCCGGGTGCTCCCGACTCCCTCCACCATCCCAGGCAGGCGGGCAGGGAGGGTGGGAAGGAGGCGGCGGAGGGGAGGAGAGAAAGACGAGGCGGAGTGGGGGGGTGCCCCGGCCGCTCCTGGCCCCCCCAGGTGGGCAGGCGACTGCCCGGCGGCTCCCGGCGCGCTTCTGCGGGCGTCTGGGAGCTGCCGGCTGTGTCCCCTTCCCTGGATACGACCTCGCAACCCCTACCCTTCCGGGGTGCCCTGTCTTGTCTTCTCCTCAGGGGGAGCCTCGCTTCCCATCCCCGGGAGCGCCCCGGGTGCACCCCTGCCGCCGGCCACCCCCGTCTCAGCGCACTTCACGCCTCCGCCGCCCGCAGCTCAGCCTCGGCCACTTCTCCCGCTTTTCCCCAGCGCCCGGACTTCGCCCGGGCCGGCGGCGGGACGCGACCCGGCGGCGGCAGCAGAAGGGGCAGGAGGAGGAAAGCAGACCCGCGGCAGCGCTCCCTCACGGAGCAGCCCGGCAATGCCCCACTGCCCTCCCTGGTCCTGGACCCGCGCACCGGGAACAGAGGGCAGCGCTGTCGGGACGGAGCTCTGGGGCTGCTCCCGCACCCCGCAGCCGGCCCTGCTGCCCTCCTTCACCTCCTTGTTCTCGGAGGAGTAGCTGGCAGAAGAAATGGAAGCACCCAGTTGCTCCTGCCCCTTCCTACCCTCCCTGCGGCCTGAGCATCTCCTCTGGTTTCATCTGCCTCCTGCACAGGCTTACCCCAAAATTGCAGCCTCCTGCAAACTCACTGCTCTGTCAATATTTCTTCCTCCTGCTTGTATCTTGTGTTCAGCGCATCCAGTCATGATTGGCTCTCCTGCTGATCAGGACTGGTGTACTGCACCATCTTACCTTGGCATGTTTGCTTCATGCTTCATTATACTTTCGTAACTCTCATCTCATTTGATCCATTTCTCTCAGTGTGCCTTAGAGCAGCATATATTTTAAATCCTTCATAAAAATCTTACAAACAGGCAAGTGAACACTCTTGAAGCATCAACCTTCACATTAATACCTGTACTTCAACTCCTGTCACAACATGCTTGCTGCTTTTTCAGGCATGCTGCTTTGGAAAATGCCACTCCAGGTTCAAGGCACTCAGGCTGCATAAGAGATTGTTTAGAATGACTGTAGAGCAGAGAACGCTGCTTGGTGTGTGAATGCATAAAGCAAAACTCCCAAAACTTGGATTTTCATAAAGTATTTGGCTTTGCTAAATCTGAATTTTAGGATATTCATTGCATTGCAGAAGTCTTGGCTGATGCCACATTGAGAAACCTACGAAACCAACCCATTCTTGGGGGTGCAAGATGTCCATGAGAGACTATCAACAAAGTCCCTTGGCCTCACAGGTCTCTGGCTTACACTGCAGCACAGTGACTGCCACTGTAGCTACAGATACATGTGCCTTGTCCTGCCCCAATGGCATCTCTTCCTGGCAGAAATGGCATTTGTTTGGCTGCATCCAATATATACATCCAAAGTAGCCTGTCTTCAACATCTCTCAGACCTGGAGAGCACCTGTGAGATGCACAGTGAAAGGGACTACAAGACAGTTTATAAACCACATGAGAATGTACATTTAAAATACTCAGTTTCCTTTCTGTAAGTGGTACAATGGAAAATCTCTGGAGGATAAGACAGCAGATTGGTAGGGAGTGGGTCAACACACAAAGGAGCCAAGAAAATGCATAAAGTGTGCCTGTGACATACACACCAAGATCTATACAGCAAGAGAGGTATTAAAAGTGTTCTTTATTGTCAGCTCATACCTGTTTAACTAAGTGGTTTTAGTGACCTTTAAATATACTATGGAATGGGTGCTAGGGCATGAGGTGCTATGGTTAGAAGGCAAATGTGCCAAACCAGAAAACTGTACACTGGGAGACTGGGAATGAACTTCATATTCGTGCCAAATTTCTGTTAAAAAGCCTTTATGAAAGGCAACATGAAGGGAGGTAGAAGAAATGGGCTTCAGTGTATCACAGAACATGAAGAAGTATCCTCATTCAGTAAGGAAAAAGGTTGACAATTTTCAGAAGATGGGGGCCCCATTTGTACAGGCAGTAGGGTGAGGCTGTGCACCAGAAAAGTGTCAGCTTGGCAAGCTGACACAGCCCAGGACTAAAAGCATCAAATCCAAAAGCTGAGTCAGACAAGGACAGAAGAAAAAGACCTGGCAGACTTCAGCCTGTCAGATTTGTCTGCCATCCCGGACCAAATGGTTGCTTTCTTTATTAAATACATCTAATACCCACTGGACTTCAGTGATGCCTGAACAGCTTCATGAATTTATTTTCAATTCCATATTCACTTTGTTTTTGATGTTGAATAAACTGTGATTTATTTAATCTAAACCAATCCTGACTGTTGTTTGGCTACAGCTGCCAGCAGTACCAAGGACTGGCGAATTGGCCCTTCCACCTTTAAGAGACGAAGTGGTCTCTGAGGATATGTAGCCCCCAGTTGAATTCAGGCTTTCGATCCAGAAGGCACATGCATATACATCTTCCCACCTGCCATACTGTCAGAATTCTGCTGGTACCTGAAGCCAAAACATGGGAAAAAAGCCTAGAGATGAAAGAGCTCTAGAGAAGGGAAAATGAAGGTTATTATCCCCGAGATTTAAGCTTTGGAAATGTCATCTCTCACCAGGTGCCTTTGTTTCCACCTCTATAGCTCCAGATTCAATATATCAATCTCTGCTATCAAGGTCACCCTCACAAACTGAAGGATCAGGGCAAAAAAGGAAGCTTGAACTCAAGAGACTACTGAAAAATCTATGCAAAGAAGCTCATCTTTTAATTTCAGAAATGGAGGGGATCAGTGTCACTGAGATGCCTGAAGGGGCTATTTTTCTTCTTTAGAAGCATGTGTAGCTTTGCTGCCTCTATTCAGAGCAAGAAGAAACTGGTGCAGTCAGGAACTGCAGTTTGTGTCAATTTAAGATCAGCACCCTGTCATTCAGAGCATGCCACTGTAAAAATGTTTATAATCCTTTCTCTGAGCTCAGCTGGGCCATTGCACTGACTTAGCAGGCAGAATCTTGCTCTGCTGTTTAGGGAGAGATGGCATTTGGGCTAAATTTGCAAAGATCTGGCACCATTTTTAAGATATACCTGGAGGCCTGCTGTCTGTCTTTAAGATGAGACAGCTATAAAGATCCTGAGCATTTCTGGCTATCAAAACTTGCAGAATACTTTATTGAAAGAGAAAAACAATGCCTTCTATTCTGGGGAGACTCCTACCCAGAAAATTGCAGTATGAGGGCTTCAAATTACTTCTCTGCTGCTCCAAAGCCAGCATAAATTAATATATGCTGTTAAGGAAGTGCTACATACTGCCCCAAAGCTGACAGTAATGTAAAGACTATTTCCAATACAGATGGTTTGTTAGTTCACTTATGCAAATAGACATATTGGAAGAGAGGAGCTATTGCTAAATATAAAGTAAGTCTTACCCTCCTATGACTTGTATGTCCTGCCAAAGAACTATGCCGACTATCTGCAAGGACTAAATACAGTGATCTCAACAGGCTTTCAATATTAAAAAAAAAAAAAAGTGTATTCCTAGTTAATAATAAGCTCTGCCTTTTTAAGATTACAAAATCAAACATCTATTGCAGTTACAAGTGTCATATCACTGTATCTATTTATGAGTGTGTAATCCAAAACATGTCTATTATCTTTTGCTAAACCTGTAAAGAGAGAGCACTATGTTGTTTCAATATTAATGGTTAGTGAAATATGTGTGAATCAAATTGTGGATATAGCAAAAGAGAATCTGTCTGGACCATTCACAAAATGAGCTTTGATATCCTTTTAGTAAGTAAAAAGCTGAAGGGAGACATCAATAATTTATTAGCACTTGGATTACATCCTCCAGTACTTGTAGTTTGCTGCCTTCTTGAAGAAAAAGAGGACAAAGGCGATACTGGCTCTTAGGCTGTAAAGTCTTAGCATGCTCTGATCTCTTGGTTCTGACAAAGGATGCTATATTTTGAGGGGCATTTTAACAACGACTGTGATGATCACAGCTCTGAGGATCACAGTGGGATGAGCCACAAGCCCATTGTCATGTGATGTCTTTCCAATTACCAGCATAAAGTAAGCCACATGGTATTTGTACCACCCTGGCACAGAGGCACTCCTGCTGTAAACAGCAGGCTTGGTGTTCCAAGGGGCCTGAGTTTTAACAGCCTATCTCTACATGTCAGGGTTTTTGCTTCCTTCCTGCTCTCTCAGATGTCTGTGCCCTGTCTCCTGCCATCTCTTTCCTAGTGGCAGTGATGCCTATGCTCAATCTTTAGATTTAGCAATGGAACTGCCACATTGCACAGATATGCCAGAATTTGCACTGACATTTGCTCTTCCTTTTCAGAATGAAATGTTCTCTCTT